TCATGATTCATTGTTTCGTAATTGCCACCCCGACCCACTCAAGATAGGCCCGCATCAAGATTGTGACGTACGCTCTGCACAGAGCGGTATGGGGCCGAGCAGAGTAGTCAACGACATCATTGTGCAACGAGGAGGTGGCGTATGAGTATGAGCCCTTGCGCGAGTCAGTCTAGAAGAATTCGCTCGGGCAGGGAATCTGAGAAGCCAACGAGAGAGGTGCGCGAGGGCACAGAAGGTATCGCTATTTCATGTTGCTGTTCGTCATTTGTCGAGCTGGTTGTCCGCTTGCTGCTGAGAGCGACTTCTCGCGGCTGGTAAAGCCAAAGCGACTCTCTGCTGCTGCTATAGCGGCGCAGGATGCATCGCTCTCGAGCCAATTCAATTGCCTCCAAAGATACCTTGCATAGCGTCGGATCCACCCCCCACTTGTTCCTGAGGATGAGAGACATGGCCTAATCGAGTCAGCAGCGTGGCGAGTCGCACGAGGGCGCTTTTTATCTTCGCCGAGCCGATCAACTTACGCTGCAGAGCATCAAGTCGAAAGAGGGCGAGAAGTTGGATCAGGATCGGATTTTCCAGGCGAGGCAACAAGCATTTCAGTAGGACTCTAACAGCATGCGAGCTGTGCCTACACTCACCGAACTCTACGCGTGGGTCTGAATCCAGCCTGAGCGCTCTGGGCCTTCTCCGCCTGCTCACGCGCCAGTATATCCTGTGCAGACTCCCCCTGGTTGGTGGAAACAGGCGCAGCGGTAGTGAGAGGAGGAGGCGCCGAAGAGGTAGGAGCGAGACCCCGCCTCCTTGCGGACTCGGCCGCCGCCGCTGCTTGTTCCTCGTCGTCAGCCTCGCTGAAGAGCGCCGTCACGCCCGAAGAGCCACCTCCAATGAGCTCACTGCGGTATGGACCATGCATAGGCAGCAGCCGTGCTCCTATCAGTGGTCGCTTCACACCGCGTTTTGTTCATCAAACTCACCGCACTCGTCGCGTGGGCCTAAAAGCATCTCCTGAAGGGTCGCGAACCACATTCTTCTGCTCGCCCAGCTGGCCACCGGCAGATGAGATCGGGGGTGCAGGTGCCCGTCTTGGCTCTTCCAAAGACGCTGTTTGAAGACCTTCGATGGCTGACTCGACCTCAGCTGAATACCCAGCGGAGAGGGTCAGCTTGCCAATCTGAGCGAACCTGTCACATGAGTGCAAATGTTGGTCAGTGCAGGTGTGGGGTTGCAGGTCTGCTCTCATTTCACCCGACGCGGACGCGTGCGCAGCGCTGCAGAGCCAATCGCTGCCTCAAGTGCTGCTTGGTGCCCAAGGTGTATGCCAGACCGCGTTTCGTCCAGGAGCGACCCGTCGCCGATAGCTTATGCGTTCCACTACTCACCTAGGCAAGCTCTTGATTTCTCCGAAGCTAGGCGAGACATCGATATTGTATGCTTTGCAAAAGTCGATGAAGCTCTTCTTTGTGAAGATGATGGAGTCGTCCTGAGGCAAGCCACCTGTAAGCGAGAAGTTGGGCCATAGACAAGAGGAGAGTGTGAACAGTCCGCGAGCCAGGCATCGGTCTCGTGAGGCCAAGGGAAGCGGAGCAGACGTCGCCCAGCGCACACTGCGTCTTGAATGACATGCACCCCTACGCACCCAGATTGTATGCCCAATCGCGAGGATTAGACTCCTTGGTGAGTCCGGGATGTTGTTTGAATGACATATTGGCCGAAGGCGTACTCGTGAGCTCGCGTTGTCTTTCGCAAACACGAGTTGCGGCTGGTCGATCAATTGGAAGCGATCAAGGTGTTTAGAGGCGGCATGTGCGTGGATCAGGTCTGCGGGCTTTCAGATGGTGCCGACAGCCATCAAAGGCAGTGGGAAAGTGGATGGCCGGTCGTGAGTCTGTCCGGTCGAAACTCAGAGGTCAAGGGATGGTGTAGCATTGACAGCATTCACATTAGTCCGGAGCGAGGACTCAAGAGTATCCCACTGTTCTCGCGGGTCGCTGCCGCGTAGACGGGGGCGGGTCGCTAGGTACACCTCCTGCATGCGCACAACATCTGCATGCCATGCATATGGCATGATGGATTCGCGGTGTTGGTTGCGCGCGTGCCGCGTCGATGTATATGTATATAGCTATCATTTCACGCACCGCGCGCACGCACGCGTGAGCGCGCGTCACAGCAGCGGCGGCATGAGGATCACAGTGTGAATGCCGCGGTGCACGGCGCGTTTTGTGCATCATGCTCCCTCCTCCACTTGGCGCGATCGACGCGAGACAACGAGAAAGCGCGCGCTCGACATTCGTGATTCGTGATTCAAGATTCTTCATTTGGATTATCGATTTGACGCCACGAAAAGCGAATTCAAGACGAGAGGATGAAGACGCCGCGGCGGCACATGCATCCGCGCCTTGCCTAGAGCTCACACACTCACACACT